AGTATTAGATCAGCGTTGAGGTTTTAATGTGAAAACAGAAGTGAAAGAAAGAGAGACGATAGAATATACATAAGAAGACATTATCAAAGCAGTCATTTCAGGAGAAGCACCTAAATTTCCAGATTCAAAGCTGTTGTCACAATGAATGAACAGACCCACTAGGGATCAGAACTGAACCTCAGGGTGCCACGCTCCTCAACAGCAGCGCTGGAAGACAAAGACGCAAAGCTTTCAAGATGCTGAAATAATTTCCACCTAGAATTCTCTAAGTAGCTAAATTATTGATCATGTGTATAGGGAATAGATAGTTTTCAAGCTTGCAGCTTCTCAACTTAATATTCCATGAATGTTTCTCAGGAGCATGTGGAGGACAGGCCCTATCAGAGCTGGAAGGATATGAAGAACAAGAAGTTCCATATTTGACTAGTCAACTCAAAAGCAAGGTAAAAGGAAGCCACTATCAGGATAGTTTGTAATGGAAGTCCCAAATAGGTCTATATGGCAGTCAGTTAAGATTGGAGTGTAGGGATGGGGGAATTTCACAAGGTACACCCTCAGGGAAAATAATTATTCCAAGGAGAGATTTACTGCTAGCTTGATACTGGGAAATTGCATTGAATAGGTTTATTTTTCTTTTGTTTATCTTTTTCACCAAAGACCTTGGAGATTTAGGAAAGGATTGAAAAAGTATAAGCCAAGACAACAAGGTCATCATGACAAAAAAAGAGTTATACTTGTCACAAAGTCTATAGATCAGAAGTGAACATGATAGTAATGAAAATGCTAATGCTGAGCCATGCCTTAGCATCCACTGAGAGAATTGAAAGGGGGACTTTGAACATAAGAGAATTGCGCACTCCATGACTAGGTGGGAGAGTTGGTAGTTACTATCTACAATAGGCCCCCAGAAGCTGGAGAGATGGCTCAGCATTTAAAAGTGCTGGCTACTCTTGCAGAGGACCTGGGTTCAGTTCCTAACACCCACATGGAGGCTAACAACTATCCATAATTCCAGTTCCAGTGGATCTGCCTCTCTCTTCTGGCCTTCACGAGCATGGCACAAGTATGCACTTAAATACATGTAGGCAAAACACTAATACACATTTAAATTTTTCAAAAAAAATTTTTGCCCATGATTTGAAAACCAATTATGTTCCTATCATTTAGGAAAAGAAAGACACATATAAGAAAGTAGGAGAGAAAATGCCAAAAAGAGTTACCTCAGAGGAGGGGAACACAAGGAAATTTTAGGCATAAGGTTATAGGCATAAGGTTTGCTTGTAACTTTATTAAATCCTTCTTTTAGTGCTATTTGGCTTTTTTGATTTTATAGAGATTTAAAATATTTTTTCATTAAATGATAGAAAGAAGAGGTCTTAGGACACTAGAGATGGAAGCATTTTCTTCCAGTTGTTTATCATCATTTTTGAAAACTCCATTTCTAAGTCTCCTTTTCACTTACATGGCTCCAACCATCTGCTTAAGAAATGAGTTGAAGTTCTATATAGTTTAGTGACAAGCGTGCCCCTGAGATTCTCCTCTCAAAGACAAAAAGGCTTATATAATGCTGAAATTTTTAGTTAAGAAGGAATTATCAATCCACATATCAAAACATATTTAAGAAGTCTTAATGATCAAGACCTCTGTTTTATGAAGTCAACTTAAATAATGAACTCAATTTTTCACTTATAAATACTGAAACTTTATTTGTTTAATATAATAACAAATGTTATTTTCTTGTGAAAAGCAGAAATACAACTTGAAATGACTTACATGAGGCCAACAATTGCAGGTTTGCTGTTGTTATTGCATCTCATCCCTGAAAGTGGTAACTCTTTTACAAATCTCTAAGTATGCGGTGATGGCTGGGGGGGGGGCATTAAGCTTATAAAGGAGTGTTGAACAAAAGCTTCAGGAAGAAATATTTCACTTAAACATTTCTGCCACTTATCTTTTATACGGAGTATAAATTGTCACATTAATAACATATTAAAAACCAGTCATAAGGGTAGAATGTCTGCTATTCCCTCTTTTTATCTACTTGCCACATTTTTTTAAGGAAATCAATATTTCATGACTTCCTTTAGCACCCCATGATTTCTTCCTCTTCCTCTAAGGTTGATATGAAACATCCTAATCCTGCAAGAGAAGTCCACAATAGAGTCAGGGCATAGTTTGACTTTTATAGTTGGGAAAAAATACCTACAACACAAAATTTGTGGTAGATACCCATTCTTTATTTTCATAGAATATTTTGCATTTGATATACTTGCAAACTAGCCTCATAGAACCTCTTCCTGAACTGGCTACACAAAACTAACATTTAAAATCATCCCGAAGAAAAATGATACAGAATAATGATTATGAAATTTTAATTTTAATACCTAGTGGAAACTGAGCTAAAACATTTTGTTATGGGTTTTTATTCCAGCCAAAGTTAGGTACTTGGTTAGCAGAAAACTACATTTGAATCTGCCAAAACAAATCTTTCAACAAACTCTGTGCCTCTGATATTTATATTTAATGAATGCATGCTTGCCGATCCAGTAGATAAGCCAAAGGCTGAGAATAAGGTAGACTGAGTTCCCTTCCAACTTTCTAGACTCTGAGGACTGCACATTGAACATCCCCTAAGTTTGTCTATGTTTCTATGTTCTTCTCACTGTTGTATCCATTGAACAAAATATCTGACATGTTTCCCATTAGTATTATAGTATTACTGAACTCCTGTGCAATATCTCATTCATCTACCAACACTTGGTTCCTAATTCAAATTCATTCAAAGTTCTAACCATCCTGGCCACATATTTAGGTTCTAAGTTTGTTCCCATTTCTAACCATGTGACATGCAGAAGATGTAATTTTAAAAAATCAGCAAAATGAGAAAGTGCTATCTATTATTTATGACACAGAAAAATTCAATCATGCATCTCAGTTGTGCATGTTTTGGAAAACTATCAGAACAATAGTGTGACATTTAAAATTCTCTGTGGTCTCAAATTTTTATAAAAATTAAATCTTAACTGTCCTTAACTCCAGTTCCAGGTGAATCCAAAGCTCTCTTCTGACCTCCGTGGCATTGCACAACACAGGTGCACTGACATACATGCAGGCAATACACTCTTACACATAAAATAAAAATAATAAAAATAAAAATATTAAAAAATTAAATCTTGCAAAGAATCCCTATACCTTTAGTCCCAAATGAATTGTTCAACTTTCAGTCATATGTGTTTAGCATGGTAGAGTTTAACACATAATTCTAAAACATGCCAAAAGAGTAACAACATATTTTATATAATTGTGTAAGGAAAATTGGTGGAAAAAGAAATCAACTTTGAAATATTTAAGGAGATAGCTTTTGACCAAATATTTTTATACATTGCTTGATTGTCTCAAATTCTTTAATATGACTTTAAGAGGAAAAGAGGGAATCATCATCTTTTTTGCACAGAAGCACTGTTTAAACAGCTCACCCAAAGCTACCATTTAGAAAGCTATTGAACCTTGGGCTTCACCTTTGTTAGGCAACTGTCCAGTTACTGAGCTATATTCCCTGCTCCTATTTTACTTTTTATTTGGAGATAGAGTAGTGCTAAATCGACCAGGCTGGCCTTGAACTCTCTGTGTCATCCAGATAGGTCTCCTGCCTCAACCTCCTGAGAAGCTGGGGTTACAGGCCTGTGCTAGCAGGTTTGGTTAGAACCAGGTTCAGAATTCTGTGCTCTACTAATTGCCCCATTTATGTACCCTAATCCTGAAAATTTAAGGTATTGGAATATTTGGAGTGGCCATGTTCTCTGAAGATATTTCTCTTTTAAAATGCAAAAACTTCAATGAACACTGCATATGGAAATAAACTGTGAAAATTAATTTATCATACCAATTTTAAGTCAGAGAGTCCATGCTAAGAGAGATTGTGACCAATAGGTGGCTGAGAACAAAAATATTGTCATGAAATAGGAGTAAGAGACACATGAAAGAAACCACAAGACTTATTTCCATACCCATAGATTAATGTACCTCTCAATTCTCACCAGAGCAGCTTCCTTATGCAATAGACGGTGATTAACACAGAAACCCACAACTGACCAAGCGGAAGTGAGCAAGAGACTGCAGAATGCTTATTCATGAACAAGGCACCTATGTCAAACTTCTGCCTCCCAAGGCTCAGGGATCATCACAGAAGAAGGGACAGAAAGATAGTAAGAGCCAGAGGCAGTGGATGACCAAAAGGGAACAGAGTTTTCCAGACAGCTGGGGAGTTATCATGTGAACTCACAGCAATGGTGACAGCAGGTACAAGTCCCATGCAAGCTCAAACCAGATAAAATCCCAACATAAATGTGAGGAAGTGGGTAAGAAACCTCAACCCTACCTGAGGAACTATTGACACCTGATAGCTGCTGGGAGGGGGAGTCAGTCTCTTTTAAAGGTGTGACTCTTGGTATGTTAATCAGGCTCTACTGGATGGACCCACACCGAAGTACATTTAGAAATACAAATTTGATTCTATAGGATGTCATAGGTATATGTATGTAAACATATAATAAGGTACATGAAATTAGGCAAGGGAGTAGCAAAAAGGGGTGCAGATAAGGGAAGGGATCAAAATAGAATCAAAGTGTTTTGTATGAAATTCATAAAAATTCCTTTTTCAAAAAAGGAGGCTGCTTTCCAACTAAATATGCTCATAGTTCTAACAATTAACTCTTTGGTAACTAATGATAAAAAGAATACAAGTATCAATCTACCTGTACCTGATAGTTACATCATCTTTTACTCAGAAGCACTATACAATATATAACTGCACATTCAATATTTAATGTGATCCTCAAGGCAGACCTGTGCATGGTTTGCTTATATTCAGAGAAGAAATCCAAGTCTCAGACTTAATAAACAACAAGGACATAATTCCTCTCATCGCATTCTAACCCCTTTTCTTTCCCAAACTGCGTAGTGCTCACTCTCACAGGATCTCATTTTCAGCGGATACTTACATTTCATCACACCTTGGATTTCATAAACAGGTTTGAGAATCAAAGTACCATAAAAGTCTTTAGGGAATGGATTTGTGGAGTCCCACTTATCTGAGAAATCTGTAAGTTTCACAGTCCGTGTTCTGTTCTTGGGAATCTTCCATTCGACAATTTCTTTGAGGGTATAAATTCGTTCATCTTCACACTCATAGAACTCTCCCTTTTGTGACAATGGCAAAGTAAATGAGTGACTCTGATGATTCCTTACCACTCCACAATTCACCATTATTTTTCCATCTATCTCTTCAACGGAGTTAAGTCTGATTGGCTCGCCTTGCATTACGGTGATATTCTCTAGTTTTATATCCTTTGTGTTATAAAAGCGAGGATGTCCTAGTCTACTGGGTCCAATATGAATAGTTCTTGTGATTTCTTCCATGGTAAGGTATGGAGTTTTATCAGCCATGATCTTAAATAGACCTAAGAAGAGAAGTGTGTGAATTAGAGTTCTTATTATGAAAGCTCTCATAAGAAAATCACAATGATAAAGCCATAATACAACATAGTACACATTTTTTAAATTAGATACTATTTTTTATATTTTCATGGCACCCGAGTGTGTCAATGTACGTGGACATGTTTATAGAAGTCAAAAGACTATCCACACGTCATTCTTAGGAACACTGCCCTTTGAGACAAAATTTGTTATTGGTCTGGAACTTACTAATGGGCTCTACTGGCTAGCCAACCAGCCTCAGGGAACCTCCAATCTCCACCTTCCTGGCACAGGGACTGTAGGCGCACACTAATGCTGAGCTTTTTATCTAGATTCTAGGGAAGAACTCAGGTCCTCATGTTTGCTAGATAAGTACTTTACTTACTGAACTATATCCCAAGATACTTATTTTAGTCCCAGGATATTTATTTTAACCTTAAATTCTTCTAGGAAACATGTCAATAAACTGTTTGTAGATTATTAGATCATCAGAACAGGCAACATAAGTGGAATCAAGAGGAAAATACCTTGAAGTAGAAATTGCCCTGTCCATGGAAGGAAATCCAACCAAGATATGCATCGTCTTGACTATCAATATAATTCTGAAGAAAAGCATTTAATCTCTCAACATTTTTCCAATTATTAAAAAGATTTGATTAATTTTTCCCATGAACATGTTCTCCTCTAGACACATCAAATTAAATAATGGAATATATTTCCCAGAAGGAAATGGATTCAGTCAGATTTTATGATTGAAAAGCTATATAGCTGGAGCCAGAAAATGGTGATGGTTATACTGTGTCATAAATGTATTAAATGCAGTTGAATCATATGATTTAAAGTAAGTTTTATGTTGTATACACTTTACCATAATAAAAAAATAACTGCATCGTTCTAACTAACGTAAAAGTTCTTTACTTTTGATGCACTGTGACTTTCCAAAAAGAATTTGACATGTTAAATTTCCAAAATTTCTTTCATTATAAACCTTTACAGGAAAACACACATTAATAAGTCACAGTATAATGTATCACAGGATATTAGTCTTTCCTCATAAGTGTCTTGAAGGTGTCAGCTTAGCTAATTGCTTTGGACTGGTGTATATATGTATATTTACGTGTACTGGGGGTGATCTATATCTTCACACTTCTCGGCCCACAGAAATGGACTTTGGGTGTCTATCTCAACCACTCTCCACTGTCTTTATCAAGGCATATTCTCTCCCATGACCCCAGAGCTTCCTGACCATTTAGTCTAGCTTGGCAGCTTACCCTGGGGATGCCTGAATCTGCTTACATGCTGGGATCATAGCAGCTACTGTGCCTGCCCTGCTTTTTCACATGCGTTCTGGGAATCTGAACTCTGGACCTTATGCTTACATGGTGAGCACCTTATCCACTGAGCCATCTCTCTATCTCTCTGGACTGAATGTTTTTGATGTATAATTCTATTTTTTATTACTTATGTGATTTTTCTGTTAAAATTTCACCATTTTGCTTTCATACCAATTTACAACTTACTTCAATATCTGCATAATCACTACCTTGAATTTTTATTTTTTAAGGAACAGCTTTTACAGCTGTTACTCTTTCAGAGGACCAACCCAGATTCAGCTCCCAGCACCAACGTGGCAGCTAACAACTGTCCTTAACTCCAGTTCGAGGAGATCAAATGCCCTCTTCTGGCCTCTGAGGGCATTGTACAACACAAGCACACTGCATACATTCAGGCAAAGTACTCATACACATAAAAGAAAAATAACAAATAAAATATCTCTAAAGGTTTTCTTTATGGACATGCTCCTTCCTGAGAATATATGCTATTCTTTTTCACATTTATTTGTTTATTTACTTATTGTGTACATGTCTACATGTGCCATGGGGCATGTGTAGAAGTCAGAGAATAACTTGCAGGAGTTGGTTCTTTCCTTCCACCTTGAGGGTCCCAGGGATCAAACTCAGGTCATCAGCTTGATAACAAGTATCTTTACCTGATGAGCTATTTTGTCTGGCCTTGTTGTTATTTTTACATTAGGAGAATTATTGTTTGTTTTTTTTTTTTTGAGACAGGTTTCACTATATAGCCCTAGCTGCTCTGGAACTCACTATGTAGACCAGGTTATTCTCAAACTCATAGAGATCTGCCTACCTCTGCCTGCCAAGTGCTGGGATTAAAAGCAAATGCCACCATATCTGGTCAATGAAAAATTTTTTTTAAAGAACATGTCACTTGAAAATTAAAATTAGAGGGAAATGAAGTAAATTAATTTGTTGAAATTAGTTAATAAGTGAATTTAATCTTTCAAATACTTTATATTATGAAGGCACTTATACTTTTACAATTTTTTACTATATTTGTGTGTGTATGTGTGTGTGTGTGTGTGTGTGTGTGTGTGTGTTGTGTGTTTGGGTGCACCCATGCCATGACATGCATGTGGAAGTCAGAGGAGTCAGGTCTCTTCTAACATGTGGGTCCCAGGGATTGAGCTCAAATCATCAGTCTTGGCATGAAGCATCTTTACCCACTGAGTCATGTTGCAAGCCCTTAATTAACTCTTAATGATTTGCAAAACAATAAAAAGATTATTTTACAAGCATTCAAGTCTAAACAATTATTGAAAATGCATCATTAATCTTCACAATAATCTTTTAGGGACAGTGAAGCAAATATCATTACTGGGAAATATGGAAAGGGTTAAGATTTTCACAGCTTCTCATTATAGCTTTAAAATCTCAAATCGGCACTGTAACAGTCAAAGATTGCATCTGGCCACCAAGCCAATCTGCCTGCCTGTTACACACATGACTTACAAGAACACTGTTCACAAGAGCAACACATCTATTGTAACCCATAGGCATGTTTGCAACTCTCCCAAGAGTCTGTCCCTTTGTACAGATCAGCCTCCCCCAGACCCAGGGGAGAGAAGACTCATTGCTACTTCACTGTGCATAATTTATTCCCTTCAGATACTTTTGTACTTTTTTATCTTTTTACCCAATAAATTTTCACCCACATATAGAATAACTTTAAAACTTACGCTTCCTTAAAACAGTATCACAGTATGACTTTGTATATACCATATAAAATCATTATGAAGATATCTAGTCTTTTTATGCTAATCTAATCTCTAGCCTGCTTTCCTAGTTGCAACCAAATCTATTCCGTCCATCTGTAAAAAAGAATTTCAGAATAAAATTTATCTACTTCTTCTCATTCTCTTCTCATATCACCAATATTAGAGTTATTAAAATATTAGCAGATCGGGGCTGGAGAGATGGCTCAGCAGTTAAGAACACGGAATGTTCTTGCAGAAGATCCGGGTTCAGATCCCAGCACCCACATGGCAGCTAACAACTGTCCATAACTCCAGTTCTAAGGGATCTGATGCCCTCTTCTGTCCTCCACAAGCATTGCATGACACGGGTGCACTTCCATACATGCAGGCAATACACACATACACATAAAATAAAAATAATAAATAAAAAATTTCTTCAAACTTGTTTAAAATTAAAATAAAATAAAATATTAGCAGATCAACTTTTGCTGGCAATTGGCATATATGACACAATTTCATTTTCAAAATAGCAGCATGAAGTAATTCATATTAATAAAACATGACCATTGCACAAATAAAGGCACAAAGTTTTGGATAGATTCTCTATTATCATAAACTCATGAACATGAACATTTCACAAATAAAAACACAAAGTTTTAAATAGATTCTCTACTATCATAAACTCATAGAAAAAGGACTTTGCTCTCCAAAGCGCAAAGTCTTAATTAGAGCTAGAAATGTCAACTTTTCATTATTATTACAAATGATAAATGGTCTAGCCTTTTATGAGCTGACATGGGTTGTTCCCAGGTGGACATCCATTCTCTTTTTGGGGAAGAACAAAGACACAGAACTTTCAAAATTGAACAACAGAAGAAAGTGAACTTCTCTGATATTTAGGCCATCAACTGGACTAGTCTCATCTTCACAGTTACCAGGTGGTGGTCTGCCTCTGGCCGTGGGAGAAGTACAGAGGGAAGCCCGCAAGCCACAGAGGGTGAAGGGGTTGACAGTGCTCCCAAGTTCACATAGTCTCAGTGTGCTGCAGGTGACCCAGCCATACTCAAGCTAGTTTCTAAAATATATTATTGGAATTTCAAATTCAGGGATCCTCATGAAATGATTATCTTTATACAAGGTCTATAAAGAAGCTATGTATTGAAAATAATACCAATACAAACACAAGGGAACCAAACCAAAATGTGACAGATTTGACATTTCTACTCCCAACTAAGCTTTCCCTCAGCTTCATGATGAGGTACTGCAATAACACCATAACCTAATTAAATATGAAAATTGAAACTTCTATAATACCTCAAGATAATCAAAATACGGGTTTAGATCGACTGTCATTATAAACTTACCTTTTAGATATAGGAAAAAAATCAAATACACTTTCTCTAAAAGCAAAACACACACACACACACACACAAGGTGCACTTTTTTGGGGGGAGGGGTCTTTTTGAGACAGGGTCTCCCTGTAGCTCCAGCTGTCCTGGAACTCACCATGTAGACCAGGCTGGACTGGATAAAATTATATTGTATAAAAATCACAAAAATTCAACAAAAAGTTTCTAAAGGACTGGCATATGTGAAGAAGAGGTTTGGAGAGAAGTTATCCTGGTCTAGATTTCTGATCATGAACCTTGTCTCCCCATTAGTAAAGCACAGGTAGTTATACGAATGCATACCATGCCTCTAAAAATATATCAATTTTGCAATCAAATTCCTAAATATCCTTTTTATTAAATATTTGCCTATAAGAGTTCTCATTTCACATCTTTCTTTTAGCTTTTCTATCATTTGGTTGAACACACAGGAAAATTCACAGATCCGTATATTACAAAACTTTTTATCAAGACTACCCCCAGGTCCAGCATTTGTAGTAGAAATTCTACCACAAATATCTGTATTCAACTGTAGGTTGAA